CCCCCCCCCCATATATAAAGATATAGATAGCTCTGGTCTCTACCGGAGAAGGAGCATCCCCGCCCGGTCTTCTCAGCATCCCGATTCTTACAGTAGAGTTGCACAACACCTAGGGGCCTGTGAGGAAGAGGAGAGAGACAGGGTGGGGTCCGGGCTCCTGGACGCCAGCGCCAGATATAAGGCTGATCTGCAGGGTTCCGGGGCTACGTGGCCCCGCTGAGCTCCTCTGGACACTTCGGCGACTGAGGTTGAGTCCCCCGCATCCCGCTATTGAGGCCGCTGGGAACCGTGCATGCTGCAGAGAGAAAGCCAGAGAGGGCTTTGGGGGATCGGCAGGGAGAGAGTAGTAACCGCTCAATAAATACATGCTGATGGGGGGCGGGGGGCGCGGTCCTGCTCCAGGGCCCGGCAAGCCTGAGCCGGAATCCACGTTTCCACCGGTGTCCCTCCTAGGTTTCTCTCCCTCCTGCCTCCTTAATATCAAGTCTGACTCTGGATCCTTTGCCCCAACATCCAAATGCACTAATATCTCTTTCCTCTTAAGAAGGCCTCTTTTGTCCCACATCCTACACCAGCTTCCTCTTCAGGTTCCTCCTCCCCTTCCAGCAGATCACTTGGAAAGAGCTGGTCTACTCCTCTCCGATTCCCCTCTTTACATACATATGTATGTATACAAGTAGTGGGAAAATACACATCCCATGAAATTTACCATTGTAACAATTTTAAAGTGTACAATTCAGTGGCATGAATTACATTCATAATGTTGTGCAAGCACCACCACTACCTAGCTCCCAGGACATATTCATCACCCCAAAAGGAAACCCCAAATCCATTAAGCAGTCACTTCCCATTCCTCCCATCCCTTGCAGCTTCTGGCAGCCACCAATCTGCTTCCTGTCTCTTCGGATTTGCCTCTTCTGGACATTTCTTGCAAACAAAAATCGTACACTGTGTGGCCTTTTGTGTCTAGCTCCTTTCGCTCAGCCACATGTTTTCAAGAGTTGCAACACGGTGATCCACTTCCTGTGCTTCCTTAAGCCTGCCCCATTCAGGTTTTCGTCCCCACCAGGTCACCTCCTTGCTGTTACATCCAGAGGTCCTCTCTCGTCCTGTCTCCCTTCACCTGCTCGCGGCATCTGACACGGCTGCCCTCACGATGCTCATTTTCTTCACCTGGTGTTCAGGATGCTGTTCAGTGTTCACTCTCTGACTATGGTTCCCCTTTCCCTAAACACCTTGGCCTCTGTCTCCACCTGCAGTCATTCGCTGGTGACCTCCAGTCTCATAGCTTGCAGCAGCCATCCATTTGCTGATGATTCCCCAAATCATTCCAGACTCATGTGTCCAGCTGCGTACCCCACATCCTCACCTGACATCTCAGAGTCAAGATGTCCAAAATGGAATTCCTGATCTTGTCCCTGACATCTACTCCACTCACAGCCTCCTTGACTGCTGCATCTTCCCAGGGGCTCAGATCCCAAACCTTGAAGTCACCCTCAATGCCATGTCAACATGCCCAATCCATGAGCTGATCCGTTGGCTCAACCATCAGAGTATCTCTGGAATCCCACCACTTCTCAATACCTCCATCCCTTCCCCTCTTGTCCAAGCCACCATCATCTTGTTCCTGGGTCATTGCAACTGCCTCCCCACCGTTCTCCCGGCGTCCACCCTTTCTCCTCTACCATTCTCCACACTTCAGCCAGAGAGTCCTTTCTAACATACAGCAACTCCAGCCGTTCTGCTCAAAACCCTCCAGTTTGCTCAGCATCACACCCAAAGTACTTAAGATGGCCCCACATGATGGTGCCACCCTCGTGACTCCTGTGACCACAATTCCTACTCTGGGCTGTCCTGGAGCTCCCTCTTGGTCCAGCACATCGTGCACATTCCTGCCTCAGGGACTTTGCAGTGGCTGTTCCTTCTGAAGGGAAGGAATTTCCCCGGATGTCCACATGGCTTCCTCACTCCCCTCCTTCAGATCTTTACACAAATGACACTAGCTCACTGAGGCCCTCCCGGACCACCCAATCCAATACTGGAAGCTGCCTACCCCGACTCCTAGCCCTCCCTACCCTGCCGTTTGCCCGGAGTCCTATCCGCTAATAATGTACAACATAATTACTGTGGATTTTATTGTCAGAGAGTTCCCAGCTTCAGCACTACTGACATTTTGTGGAGGATCATACTTTGCTGTGGGGCACCATCGCGTACATTGTGGGATGTTGAGCATCGTCCCTGGACTCTACCCAAAAGATGCCAAGAGCACGCCCTCCCCAAATTGCTCAATGCCATGTCCATAGTGCATAGAATGATGCCTGGCACGAAGTTGACATTCACTATACACTGAGAGCACAAAGGAAAGTGAAAAAGGAAGGAATGATCCTCTCTACCTCGTGGATAACAGAGTTGACAATACACGTTAGCTGTCACCCCAAATACCTGGGCGAAGGAACAAAGACACCCACTTCCTCCTTTGTCTTCCCCACCTTGGAAGCCATGTCCTTCATACTCTCAATTTCCAAGAGAGTGGGCAAGAGAATCTCCAAGGACGACCCCACTGTGGCTATGGGGCACTGGTCCGGCACCCTCCTGGGCTCTTGAGATACTCTCCTGGGCTGTTGGGAGACCCTGGCCTCCATCTTTGAGACAGGGGTCAGCGAGGCAGGAGACTCGGTTACGTCCTCCCACCTCGCTGAGGGCAGAGAGATGGGAGTCAGGGAGGCAGCATTCATCTTGGGGCTGCTGGTGGCACGCTTGGGGCAGGGGGACGCTTTGGAAGGCCACTTTGGGTCCCGGGGCACCGCCTCCACCTCCGCCCACGGATGCGTGTTCCCCTTCGCCCAGGCCCCCAACTGCGGCTGCTCCCTGACCACCACCGGTGTCTCCTCCAGCAAGGACACCTTGGTGGTGCTGAGGGGTACCGTGTCCATAGTTGGCATGGCAGACCCCTGCTGGGTTGAGAGCCAGGAGGGCAGATTGAACAGAGCTGACCTCAAGGAGGGATCCTTGGAACTGGCAGTGATCATCAGCCTGGCACGGGTGAGCCCTTCTGCTGAGAAGGGCCCGGTCTGCCCCTGTGAGGCTTCCTCGATGGCCAGCTCCTGGGTCTTGACCCACTCCTTCTGCTGACCCACCTCCTTGGATCTGAAGCCCAGCATGTCCAGAGAGACCTCCTCCTTCATCCTGCGGACTTTGTCCTCCAACTTGCCCTTGCCCTTGAAGCCATCCGCGGTGACATCCTGGGCTCTGCTGACCAGGACTTCCTCCGACTCCTTCTCGGTGGCGGTGAAAGGCAGCTCCAGGGATGTTTTCTGAGTCCTCACCTCTACTGTGTTTGTCTCCTGGGTGCCCATCAACACCACGCCTCTGGCTTCCCTTCAGGCTTTTCTCAAGCACATCTCCTCCGTGACTTCCCGCAGGCAACACGCCAGTGGTGGCAGGGTCCAATGTCATTTGGTATTGGGTAGGTAAGGTCAGAGCCTTCTGGGACAGGGTAGGTAGGAACACAGATTTCCTGTTTGGAGCAGGGGGGGTACACAGCCTTCGGGGGAACAGCAAGTGTATGCGGGGCCTTCTGAGATGGGGCAGGCATGGCTGGGGCCTTGTGGGGAACAGCCGGTACACGTGGGACCTTCCGAGATTTGGCAGGCACGGCTGGGGTCTTATGGGGAATAGCCAGTACATGTGGGGTCTTCTAAGATGGGCCAGGTGTGGCTGGGGCCTCCTGGGGAGCAGCAGGAAAAGCTGGCGCTTTCCGGGATGGAGCAGGTACAGCCAAGAACTTCTGGGACTGGTCAAGGATGAATGGAGCCTTACAAGAGGCAGCAGGGATGGCTGGGGGCTTCTGGGAGGGCGGCAGCCACAGTCTCTGCTCGGAGTCCAGAGGCCTGGCCTGTTCGTTGCACCTGCGGAAGTCAGGAGGGTAGGCGGCTGGGCAGAGGGAGGACGTGGACAAGGTGCTGGCCTCCGGGTCCATCAGGTCGTCCATGTCCTGTTGCCACGGGTACATATGCGAGTGATCACAGGAGCCCAGCAAGGGCATTTCAGGGCTGTCCCCCGAGATACAGAGTGAAGGGGTCTCAAGTAAACCTGCCAGGCATGTGGCCCCCTCAGAATCAGAGCAACCTTGTAGGTAGATGGGGGGGAGGGGAAGGATGGTCAAGGCCAGTGGAGATGCCCAGACCCAGGCCCTCAGCCCCCTCCCCCCTCAGACCCAGGAGTCCAGGCCCCCAACCCCTCCCCCCTCAGACCCAGGGGTCCAGACCCCCAGCCCCTCCTCCCTCAGACCGTGAGTTGCCCTCCTCCCTCTGATTCTAGAGTTGGCCCCGGCCCTCAGCATATAGCTGTCTTGGAAGAGGATGCCATGTGGTCAGGTGTATTGGAAATGATGCTGAAGATGGTCCGAAAGGTGATGCTGGGCTTCTCTGGTGGGGTGGAGCAGGAGAAAGCAGTCTGAGCTCTCAGCAGAAGGGTCAGAATTTCGGGGTCCGTTCATAGAGGCAGAGGGAGGGGGGTGTGCTCACCGGAAACTTGGATTTCGGTTTGAGGTCTCTCAGGGGAGAGATCCGGTTGGGACCTGTAAGGGCAATTTGGTGTGACTTTGGCGGCTTCAGCACTAGGATCCCCACCCTTCCCCCCTGCCCTGCAGGCAGCAAGGCCCCAAGGCTACTTTTCTGTAGATTTCTTTCTCCTGTCAGCTTGCTCCAGCTGTGACCAGCCTAGCAGCACGGAGTCACCCAGGGCCTGAGACTTGAATTCGCGCTTGAGGGTTTGGCAGCGGGAGGAGGGAGGGCAGTCAGGAGGTGCAGCGCCGTCAGCCTCTTCCCCGCCAGGGCCACCGGGGCCGCTCGCCTCGGCCTTCCTCTGTCTCTGAGTTGTCAGAATCTTGTAAGGAAAGGTGGGCTCGACAATCATGACTGGAAAGGCAGGGGGACACTTCAGGTCAAGGACCCCAATGGGGATGACACGATGCGGGGGGAGGCCCAGAGGGGACTCCTGGGGGGCTTGGCCAGGGGAGAGAGGGGTGTGACGCTGAGGCTCTGTCCACGCCTGGTGGAGGGGAAGCTGAGACTCAGGGAAGGGCCTGATGGACGCCCAAGCCAGCTCGCCTGAACGCCTGTGGTGAAATGGGTCCTGCGGACAGGAAGAGGGGCAGTGAGGAAGGGTGAGATCTTCCTGGTTTCCACGTCTCCATTACCTACCCAGCCCAGGACTCCAGGGCCCCAGCCCCCTCCCCGCTCAGACCCAGGGTCCAGGCCCCCGGCCCCTCCCCACTCAGACCCAGGTGTCCAGCCCCTGGTCTCTCCCCCCTCAGACCCAGGGGTCCAGCCCCTGGTCTCTCCCCCCTCAGACCCAGGGGTCCAGCCCCTGGTCTCTCCCCCCTCAGACCCAGGGGTCCAGCCCCTGGTCTCTCCCCCCTCAGACCCAGGGGTCCAGCCCCTGGTCTCTCCCCCCTCAGACCCAGGGGTCCAGCCCCTGGTCTCTCCCCCCTCAGACCCAGGGGTCCAGCCCCTGGTCTCTCCCCCCTCAGACCCAGGGGTCCAGCCCCTGGTCTCTCCCCCCTCAGACCCAGGGGTCCAGCCCCTGGTCTCTCCCCCCTCAGACCCAGGTATCCAGCCCCTGGTCCCTCCTCCCTCAGACTCTGGAGTGCAGGCCTCCTCCTCCTTCAGAGCCAGGGTTCCTGGCCCCAGCTCCATTCCTGGGGCTCCTGTACTTCTGGCTTTTGGTCTTGGCGCCCTCTCGAATCTAGAACCATAGCTGCCCCCAGGGGTCTGTGGGGTCAGGGCCCACCTGGAGGCGCCAGGTGGAGGCAGGAGGTGCCACGTGGCCCAGGTCTATGGGGGGGCGTGTGTAGGGTCCTGGGGGCCCAGGAGGTGGTGGGCTGCCAGAGCAGGTTGATGAGGCGGATCCAGCAGTCAAACAGGAAGCTGACCTCATTGTCAGGGGCGTCCAGCTCCAGGTAATAGCAGCGGCCCGTGGTGACCAGACGCAGCTTCAGGAGCCAGGCAGACAGGTCGTGGACGTAGAGGTGGGCCAGGTCCAGTGGGATCATCCTAGCAGAAGCAGGAGATGGAAGCGGAAGAGCAGGAGATGGGGCCGAGGTGGCAGGGGATGGGGGGATGGCGGCACCTGGTGAGGACGAGGCTGGAGCGCTCCCTGCCCTCGGGGCGCTGGGCCATCAGCAGGATGTCTGGCAACGCCAGGCCTGGCAGGGAGGCGGCCATGCCCATGGTCACTCGGTTGGTTCTGTGGTGCACGTACGCTGGGGCCCCTCGACTGGTCACCTGGGGATCCAGGGAGAGGGGCTGGGACCACTCCTTTCTCTTATGCTCCTCTGGCACCTCCACACAGAGCTCCACCCCCCAGCCCCCCAGCTGCCTTGTGCCCTCCTGGACCCAAATCCCCCAGCCCAGGGGGTCTCCCTTCCCTTCTGCCCCTCTCTGCCCCCAGGGCACAGGGAGCCAGGGACCTGGACAAAGTTACTCTCGAACATGGGCAGCGGGCGGAGGGGCAAGTACTCGCCCTTCTGGAGGGTCTTCTGCAGCTCGCCCAGGGTGGGGACCCACTTCAGGGGGCCCTGGAGTGGCTCCCAACGCCTGATGTTCCAGAGCCGGTTCATGATGGCTGCAGAAAGTGTCGGTCACCCGGGGCACGGAGGCAGGGTGCCGGCACCCCAGCGCTTGGCCAGCCGGCCCCCTAGCCCACAGGCCCCAGCCCCTCGGGCTTCAGCGGTTCCAGAGGGTGGAGCTTCCCCAGGGCTTGGACATGGCCCTGCCGGGGTGCTCAGCCCTGGCCTGGGGGAGGAGCCTTCGGTGGAGGAGCTTTGTGACCGCATCGGACACAGCTGCAGCTCTTTCTGGGAAGTCTCCAGGGGCCTTCAGCTCCCTTCCCCTCCAGGAACCTGTCCTGGAGTCTTGAGGGCTGGGGTGGGTGAATCAGAAGCCCCTGCTCCAGACCCAAACTAGGGACAACCCGGGGCCCTGGGAGGGGCCGTCTGGGATGTTGTAAGTGAATAATTAAACAAAAGCGTTTCTGACTCTTAACAGGGGAGGCCTGAATTACAGTCCCAACTTGCCACTGACCCATCTCTACACCCCAGGTAAGGTCTATACCCCCAGGAGCCTCAGTTTCCCTGTATCTAACTTGTTTGTGTCCATGGCAACAGTTGCTGTACATTGGTTATAAAGAAAGGGACATGAGGTTTGGAATAAGCCAGACCTTTGGCAAAATCATATTCTGCCTCTCCCTAGCTGTGTGGCCTTAAATGACAGGCATCCCCGAGGAGCCTCAGCTTCCCTCATCTGTAAAATTGGGGGGTATTGGAGGATGCACGGGATCCTGTAAGTAAAACCCCACACTTAAGGCATGGCGCAGAGCAGGCGCACAGTGAAGGGCCATTCCTGTCCCCTTCTGAGGGCTTTTGGGGCGCGGGGTGCTGATATTCTGTCATCCTAAATATAGTGGTTATTATTTTTTTTCATGTGTCATGCAAAATACATGGTCATTGTAAAAATTCTGGAAAATACAGAGAAGCACAAACAACGAAAGTCACCCACAATCCCGCCCCCACCTTCTACCCTGAGGTGGTCATAGTCAACACTTTGGTGTATTTCCTTCTAGGATTTTTAAATAATCCATGGATTATACGTATCTATACAAAATGGGGACCACACAGTGGTTTGTAGCCTTGTGGCCTGTTTCTTCTATGCCTAAAGCAGGCTCTGCAGCATTCCTCTTCATGGCTGGTGTATTCCATCACATGGATGCACTGTCATTTATATAACCATCCCCCGCTGTTGGACATCTAGGTTGTCTCCAATTTGCTGTTGTAAACACTGCCATAATGAACAACCTTGAGCCTGCAGCCTTGTCCTGTACTAGTGCTGTTGGTCACAGGGTAACCTTCTGTAACTATCCATTAAATACTTATTTATTGATTGTGAGACTAAGAACTCACAGTCTCTGGGGGACTGATGGTTCCCCCTCTACATCCCTGTCCACGGAGGGCCCCCCAAGGACCCCAGCATCCAGCCCCTGGCCCCCAGAGAAATCACCTCTAAGTGGATGTGTATGACAAATTTAATTCCCTCTTCTCTATCTCACAAAGGTTCTCACATTTTTGTACAAAAACCCAGGCCTCCTTTTCCCCTCCCTCCCCACCCCAACACAGAAAGTAATTGTTTAATAAATAATATATGCTCCTGCCCAAGCCGAGAGGGGTGGGTGTCAGGGAGACACTGTGGCCAGACTTCTCAGAGATCCAAGAATCCGGGACCCCAGTTCCCTCCTCCTCAGGGACCCCCGAGTCCACCTGCCTCCCACCCACCCCCCAAATAAATAAGTATAAATAAGGCACAGATGCCCCCCTGCCCAGGTCTCCAGGAGGGATCGTCTCTAACTAGAGGGAGACAATGGTGAGGGCGGAGTCCTCTGGCTGCCACGCCCCCAGTCCCGAAATAAATAAATAAATAAGGTCTGGCTTTGAAGGGCGCTGGTGGCTCTAGGTGGAGGGTCACAGCCGAGTCTTCAGCAGCAGCAAGCCCCGCACAGCCCAGTCGAGCGTCAGGTGCAGCCCCCCAAGGATGGCATGGGCCGCCCGGACGCCTCCCCAGGGTGAGGCTGGGGGAGCCAGGGGTGGTGCCGGTGGGTCTGGGGGCGCCTGGGGCAGGGCCAGGCGGGACATCTGTCAGGAGAGGACAGAGGGTTAACATCAGGCCAGGGGTGCAGTTAGGATCCGGGGAAGCGGGTATTTGGAGCCTGTACTGAATCAGGGTTGGGGAGGTCCAGCTTGCACATTTCCACTGTGTCTCTGGCCTGTGAGGTGGGGTGTCTGGGTTGGGAGTTCTTCAGGACGTTGGGTTCAGAAAATTGAGGCTGGGGCCAAAAGGTGGGGGTCTTAAGGCTGGGGTTCTAGGGCCAAGTTCAGAAGGCTGGAGGTGAGGTCTGTAGCATCAGGGCCAGGATCCTGGGGCCGAGGTCTTAGATGTGGGGGTCTCATTGTAGGATCAAGCTCAGGGACTCGTGTGAGAGGTGGCGTCTCAAGTCTGGGCTCTCAGAGCTGAGAGTTGGAATTTGAGTTTCAGGGTCTTTGGGGTCACCAGGTCCAGGAACCGGGGTCTGAAGTCTTACAATCTCAGGGTCTTGAGTCTGGGGTTTTGAAAGTCAGGGTCTTGGGGTCTTAAGGGCTCACAACCTAGATCTGAGCTCTTGGGGACCCAGGGCTCAGGGTCTGGGGTCTTCTGGTTTGAGATCTCAGGGTCCAAGTCCTTGAGATCTGAGGTTTGCAGAGCCAGGGTCTGCAGGCTGGCTTTAAGTCACGGTGCATCATCTGAGGGTCTGGGGTCTTGATGTGTCAGGATCTCAGGGCCAGGATATGGGTGGGTCTCAGGGTCTGGAGGTTCAGAATATCCTGGGCTTGGGGTCTGGATTCCTCCTGTTTTGGGACCGGGGTCTCTGGGTCTTGGGGTGAGGGTTTGGATTCTCAAATCTTAGGGCTTCACGATGGGAGTCTTGGAGTCACAAGACCATGGGGTTTCCGAGTCTCAGGGTGAGAGTTTAGAGTTTCCAGGCAGGATTTTGGAGTCTGGGGTCTCAGGGACACAGAGTGAGGGTCTCGGAGTAGGCCTGGGGTCTGGGGTCCTGGGGTCTCAGAGCCAGGTGATCGTACCAGGAGCTGCAGCCGGCGCAGCAGCCGGTCCAACCGGGCCTGCAGGGCACCTAGATCGGGCTCCAGGGTCCGCAGGGAAGGGCCTCCTGCCCGGCGCAGCCACTGCACATGCCTCAGGTAGGAGAACAGGTCTGCCCGCAGCCGTGTCAGCACTCCCGGGAGCTGGGGGACGGGCGGGGTGGGGGGTGGCGTCAAGGAGCACCTGGCACCTGCCCACTCCAGCCCCTAACCCCCTGCACCCCCTTCGCCGCCCAGCTCCCACCTTTGACCCATCCCCTGCCCTTACCTGCAGGGCTCCCAGCGCCCCTGCACTCATGGCCAAGGTGGGGAGGGAATCCAGGTTGTGGTCTCCGTCAGCTGGGAATTTGTCTCTCTTGGGGGGGAAAGAAGCCGTGAGAGGGACCCTGCCCGGCTCCGGGGGTCGCCTCATCCCCCACCACGAGCCCCGGACTCCTTTCTCCCCCGTCTCTGCCACCGTGGTAGCCCAGACGCCCTCCCCGTTCTCGGTCTTGGCCCCAGCCCATCCCCTCCAGGTTCTCCTACCAGCTGTGCGGCCAGCTGCCGAGTGTCCGCCAGGAGAGAGCGGGTCAGGAGGACAGCGCTGTCCAGCTCAGCCCGAGGGTCTGGGGAGGCCCGTGGGGGGCCAGGAGGTGGCCCCGGGGCAGCAGCTCTACCCGGCCACAGGCTCAGCGCGGCCAGGACCAGGCAGCAAACACCTGAGGGAGGGAGAGGACAGAAAGGAGGCTCAGGCCCGACCGGGGGGTCTGAGGGAGGAGGGGCTGGGGTGGGGGGTCCTGAGTCCCAGGGCGGAGCGCCCAGGGCACGTCGCAGGGCCTGGGCGGGTTTCCCTCTCCCTCTCTGGCTCTGGTCGCCCCGCCCGTCGGAGCAGACGCGCCCCGGGGCGGGTAGACGGGCCGGGCGTCTCCCGTCCGCCCCCGGACGCCGGAATCTGGGCCCCGGGGCGGGGCAGGAGGGGGGAGACACAGGCCAGAACCTGCCCCCTCCTGAGGCTCAGGAGACCGAAACGGACTGAGAGCAGGGGAAGGAGACCTGGACAGAGGTCCGGGGGCCTTGACCCCCTCCCCGGGAGACCCCCGCGTAGACCCCACCAGAGTGGACCGCGGAAGGCCGGGCCGCAGCGCCGGGGATACCCCACAGCACACCTGGGCGGAGAGAGGCAGAGGCGCGGGCGCGCCGGGCTCGCGGCGGGGAGAGAGGGAACCGGCGGTGCTCAGCGCGGGGGCTCCGGCCCGCTCCCTCCGCGGCCGCCCATCCCCCAGCGGCCCCGCCCCCCCCGCCCGCCAGCCAATCAGCAACCCCCGGGCCGCCCCGCTCCCGCAGCACACCCCCAGCCCGCCCCCTGGGCCCTCCCAGGCCGCGGTCTGTCCGCCCGTCCGTCGGCATCCGTCTGGCTCTCCTGTTTCTGTCTGCACTCCTGTGTCTCCCTCTGTCTTTCCTCCCCGTAGCTGGGGTCGGTGTTCTTTCTGGGCTTGCTCTCACCTCCTTGGCCTCTCTGCCTCAGTTTCCCTCCCGGAGCCTCTCTGTTGAGGTCCCTGGGAGTCTGCGTCTCTCGGTCCCCGCTGACTCCCTGGGGGTCCCGGGCCCTTTGGGAACACCCCCTGGCCTTCGTCTGTCTCTGTCTGTGAGTCTCCATTTCTCTCTGCCTCGCGCTGCCCTGTCGGTGTCTCCGCGTCTCTGGTCCGTCCTTTCATGTCTCGCTCTGCCCGTGCCTTCTCTAGGCCTCCTGCTTTCTCTGAATCTCCTTCCCGCTCGCTCCGTCTCCGCCTCCCCATCGCTCCCTCGCTCTCCTCGTCTCTCGGTCCGATTCCGCTGTCTGTCTGCTCCCCACCCTTCCCGCCGACGGTCCCTCCCTCCTTCCTCCCTGTCCCCCCTCCAGGAGCTTGAACCAACTTACTGTTCATGTCCCCACAGGGCAGGGGTTCCCCAGGGCAGGGGGCAGGGGGCTGGGGGCCTTTACCCCTTCCCTGTCCGCTGCCGTGGGAGCCCTGGGGGTCAGCTGGGCCTCGGCCTGGGGAGGGGAGGCATGTGCGTGTGAGCAGAGAGGGCCGCGGCAGTGAGGGAGTGTGTGCGCCTGGGGGGTTATATAGGGGGCCGGGGCGGGCGGGCGGGGGGCAGGCGGCAGGGGGGGGCG